CGTTAACCTTATTGTACGGTGTTACTGGTATTTTGCTATTCAATGCAGTTCCATTCATAGATTTTTTGGGGGGACAGCTATTTATTCCATTCTATCACTAATCAATATTTAATAAAATAAAAAATTAAAATAAATAAATAAATGAAACACAGAGGTATGACTGACATAAGGGTGATCAGAATCTTAAATGACACAGAAAACAGATCGCTGGTCAGGTCTAAATCGTAACACGTGCTTTTATCTCTCAGCGAGATATCTCCCATCCTGCTAGCGTCCTCTTTAGCGGTCCTGTGATCATTCATTCATGACAAATTAAACATTTAGATAACGCCAAGGTAATAAATAGAGGGTGAGAAATGAGTGTGACAGTCCAGCTCCCCATACAGTCAGACCGCCTCCTCCGTAAACAGCACGAAACCCGAGAGCATGAGAATCACGCGACCTAGTGCAAACGTGAAAGAGACTATTGGGATAAACACGGCCTGGTTTGGACCAGTTTGGTTTGGTTTGGTACTCTACGAGTGGAACAAACAAACACAAGCTTTTATTCTCGGAGTTCATAAAAACCATTTCATGGTTTTCTGTAAGCACCACCAAAGTCATTTTATGGTACATTTTGACCTTTGCTGTTGCTTAAACATGCTCTGTGATGTGGGTTGCAAAGTAGGATACTGATGATTATTCATTGTGAGTAATCAGGTCGACAAAACTCCAGCAAATGTCAACACATACACTCAATACATCAGGATCGAGGACAAACGGAAGCTAATAGCAGCAACACTTCTCAGAATATTACTTCGCACTGATTGCTTGGCTCTCCTTCTCCTTGACCCTGCTTTCAAAGGATGAGATTTAAAAAATAACCTCTGTCAACCCGCATGTTGAAAAAGTCATTTGTGTTCGTCATGTAGTTCATGTAACATGACACTAGATGTGACTTATGTGTCTTCTGCATCGAGCTCTTTACCTCTGACCTCAAAGCTCGTGCACACCGGCACAGGGTCAGCGGGTCACCTTTCACACACGCCACCAAATCCCTGGCCTGCTGGAGCTAGTTTGGAGGTATAATATAACATATAATTGGTTTCCAATTATATCTGAGCTGCAGTCAGTAATCATCCGGGCTGGTAACATGTAACTAAAGAGTTTGAAGATAACATCAGCATTTATGTCTAGTGTAATGGAATGTTAATCTTTGTAAAAACAATTTGTGAATACAAGTACTAAATTCACACTGTTCGCATCTGATGTCTAGATTTTCAGCAGAAACAGTCTGGCCTTTTGACCCAGTGTGTCAGACATAAGACCTCTGCCACCTGAGCATAAGAAAACAGTTGTTGTTTGGTTTCAGACGCAGTTTAAATATACCACTTCGGTGATTAAAAAAGCAAAAGCAAACATTTGTGCTCTCAAGTCCCTAAAGGCCATTCATTGTAAGAGGTTGTTTGGATAAAGGATAAACATGCGAATGTGTGTGTGGATTAAGAATGAATGTATTATTAGAGCGAGCATTAGTGTATTGTTGAGTATCAAAGTAACTTTAAGTCTAAAGTTAGTTTGTTTAAAGTTAGTTAGTTTAAGTGAGCGTTAGATGACATCAAAATGTAATATCTGCCAAAATGAATGAATGAACGAATAAATAAATAAAAACCCCGATAACTTATATGTTACCAATATATCATGTATCCCTTTAAAATTTAAAATCAGAAATAAAATACAACATCCTTAAGCCTTAAAAAAATTAATTTTCACACAATTACATCTAATGTGACAGAAAATTCTTAGGCTGGATGGTTCTACTGCTATGCATTTGTAAGGATTCAGATGTTTTCTGCAAACAATGAAAGCAATTATGGGTGAGAAGGTAGGAAGATGCTGTATATCACAGATCTTGACAAACACGTGTAGCGGATGCAGATTATGCGTGATGCACATGGCAGCTGATAAAAATTAACACACACACACAAACATCCCCTAGACCAGTTTGAAGTACAAAATATGACCTTGATTACATAAACTACACCTGCAAAACACTCGGACAATTGCAATACCACCATATCGTGTCAGTCAGTCGGTCACTATCGCAATCTTCCTTCATTTTATTGCCAAATCCTTGCTGATTCCCACTGTTAGGTCAAAGGTCAAATGAATTTCGAGATCCTTTCTGGGAGAGCAACATCACAGCATGTCGGAGAGCTGAATGTTTATTGCTCGGACCTTCTTAAGGGGCTTCAGCGAATAAGGGCCAATGTGCTGAGAGACATGTTAATGACAGCAGTGAATGAGGTTTGTGTTATGCTGAATCTCTCGAGCTGTTATTCAAAACTGTTCAAAAGAGGAAGATGGAAAAATTGAAGTATGAAACATGTTTGTGTGAGAATGATTGAAATTAAGAAGTGAAAAGTGTGTGAACTTATGTGGATGGTTGGATTCCGAGGTGTTTTTGTGTTTATGCTAGTAATTTATTTATTCTCCCTCTTTCTAGAAAGCACTCCGCTGAGATCACGGTGTGAAAGGACACAGTTTTAAGTGCTGAGGGGGAGAGGGACTCAGGCACAATGGAATGCCACTGCTACTCCTGCCAAGAACACTTTTCCCATGTGCCCGCGAGCCAAGACTTCCCCCAACAGCCAAGAATAGCACTGCTGTCCTCGCACACTCACCAAACTCTCTCACACACACTAGGCAAACACAAGGCTGGGTTCTGCAGCACCTGAACTTCAAAAGAGTCATGTGTGTAAGACACACTCCTGACAAGAAAACATTAAAATGACAACCAAAGGTTCCTAATAGTGGAAAAAGCTTCTTTAGATTACTGCAGTGCTCTTCACACTAAAAAACTGTTCACTGAAAGTTTTTTGGGGAACCAAAAATGGCATCACTGTGAAAGCACTTATTTTTAAGAGTGTAGGGAAATGAAGGTGACTAGCTTAAAGGGACAGTTCACCCAAAATCCTTTATTAACTCTTTTGTCGTTCCAAACCTGTATGACTGACTTTCTACTGTGGAACATCAAAGAAGATATTTTGAAAAAAAGTGACTTCTTTTGTCCATACAATGAAAGTCAATGGGGTCCAAAGAGAAGAAATACAGTACATATAAGTTTGGAATGACATTGGGATCAGTATCGACTATCCCTTTAATGTTTTCATAAGCACATCATGCTTTGATCTTGCAGATCTTTCATATTTTTATAATGACATAACATGCATCTAAATGGACTTTGATGCATTCCAATGCACTCACAACATCAATTTGTCATCCATTTGGGGTCATTTAAAAAAAAAAAAAGTCTTTTGAGAACTAACCAACAGGAAAAACACATCACCGAACCCCACCTTTGCCATATTAACACTTAACAGAAGATTAGGACATTCAGAGCGCATTAGGAAGCGCATGCTTCACCACACGCACTAAGAGGCCAGTGACCTTTAACTGGAGAAGAGCTTTTACTCTAAAAGCCCATGATTGGTTAGAGGAGCCACTGGCATAGTAGAACTGTCTGAGATGAAAAACAGAGTGAGCGAGACATAGAGAAACACAGACAGATGTTTCCATTAATTACCCTCAAAATGAGCTCTTATCAAGCCTTTCATAGGCCTGCCCGCGAGCTAGCGTTGCCTGTGTGACAATTTGTCTCTCGTTCCCTGAGTTTTTGAGTATGCACCAATATATTGGCCAGACTAATTAATCACCTCATATTTGGCCAGTTTTAGACTATAACTGCATCTGTTGCTGATACATTTTGGTAATTGCCCTTGTGTCAGTTTCGATATCTACCATCAGCCTTGTCATTGATTAATGGACTAATTTAATACAACTTTTTATTCTATTATAAGCCTATCACTTGAAGCAAAAAACGGAACTGAAAAATTAACACGAATTGGTATGTTTTACCTCAAGCTGCATGAACTCCACAAATTTTTGTAAAACATGATGGTCATATTACCCAGAATTCTATCCACTGTATCATAACTTGGCCAAAATCCTCAAACTTTCTGTTTATGTGAAGGCTTAAATGTAAAGCAATGGGCAAAAAAGATGTCCACTTGCTTGTGCATGGTTCTAGGGGCAGTTTACACCTGAACATTGAACAAAATGTGTCTGTGATATATGTATTCCACATTTACAGTCTTTCGCTTCATTTAAAAATATTAATACTTATACAATTACAATAATACTAATACCAATAATAAATACTAA